ATAGCCTAGCTTTATTATGTTTTTCTCCGCTCGCAGAAGCGCTGCAGATATGAAGACCATGTGAATCCTCATGTTGTTGTTTGCTGCTTTTTGCGCATGTAAAATTAATCCCCGGAAAACAAATGTTAGTATTTTTTTAACGGGTCACAGACACTTATCCTTTCTAATTTAATTCAATTCTAATTTAAAATAATCTTGTCGGTTAACGGTTAACAATCGGTTAACGAGCGTCGGTTGTCGGTTAGGAAAAATAACCGAAATGAACATCCCTATAATATATACATTAATATAAATCACTCCTCCTACATTAATATTTTTTATAAATATTTTTATATTTATCTTAATTTTATATCTGTTTCAGTTTTAGAATTTGTAGTACTTTTAAATTATTCTAATTTATAATTATAATAATTATAGTTTGTTTTTCATCTAATATTTATATTTACGTATTTAATTTTGTATTTATCTAATATTTGTTTTATTTTTTCATATATTTAATTTCATATTTATATTATTTAATTTCAGCTTATAGATATGGTTTTATTTATTTGTGTTTATTTCATATTTATATTTTATTTATTTCCAGCTTTACTTCAATTATTTCTTTATTTAAAATTTTTATAATTTCATTTCAGGAAACGATAGCAGCACTGTTTAGTAATTTAATAATTGATTTGATGCAGAAAATGCATCAGTTAAAACACATTAAAAATTACAAAACAAATGATCATTCAAAATTATTCATAGAATTTTAAATAATCAATTTAAAATAAATAAATAAATAAAACCCCACCAAAACCAGATTAAATAAAGTCAAGTTATTTTGATTCCAACAACTTCTGATTGTTTTTACACACTGAGGGACACATTTGTAGTAATCTTCAAAACGTTCCTTTAAACTAGTTAAGAGGCCTGGACACCAGCATCCCATGGACCTTAGTTAGAGTAGATGATATAAGTTCCTGAAAATTAAATATGGCACCTACCATGACCAAGGAACATGCTAGAGCCCAAATCCCAAACTTAATGTTTGCTGGTGACCAGATATGTTAGTCTGGGCTGCTTGGTAGACCTGTCACGATAACAACTTTTTGTTGTGCGATATATTGCCCCAGAAATAATTGCGATAAGCGATATTATTGTCATTTTAAAGACCATTTTGTGCCACTGAATATATAATCATAATGCAACAGCATAATAATGCAAGAAGGCCTACACACTTCCAAATGACAACAGACTTTTAATTTTTAAGAATATTTAGATCATGGAAATTAATTATCAAAATATCAGATACCTTACAGAACCTGAATAAACAGTAAATAAACAATTTCTAACAAAAAGTGCAAAGTAACAAGTCGAAAAAAGAAAAATGCACAAAGAACTTGTATGCGGATTTTTCCATCTACAGAT